GGGGGGAGGGGGACTGCTAGTGATTTCATGTGGGGGATTTGTTTACCTCGAGGTTTTATTTGCTTGCATTCTTCCCTCTTCTATTTGCCTCCTTCCCATTGAAAAAGTGGCGTTTGCGCAATCGTGTGGTGTGGTTTATTGTTGTTGCTTGACATCGACGGCGAATTTTTCCCACGACCTCTTCCTTCACCTCTTCTTCTAAGGGGAGGGGGTGGGGGGTGGGGGGAGGGGAGGGGCGACAAAAACTTTATTTGCTAATTTAGCTTGTGACTTAATTCAATCACCACTTCTTCTTCTTCTTCTTCCTCTGGAACAGCGTTAATCTCTGCCCCAAGGTGTGTCTTAGTTACTTTAATGAAAAATATCGCATTTCGTTTTTTGGCATTATGTTTAATACGTCTATTATAAATTTTAGGTCCTGGAAATACTAACACTATTTATTAATTTATTTATTCATTTCACTTTATTTGTCAATGAAAGTGAGAGTTGATTTTTTAAGTTGCTTATCCCCCTTTTTAGATGTCTTCCATTCCTGAATATACGGCGTAGCTGCTTTTAGTCACTTTTTAATTATCTGCGTGTTAAACCATTCGTCTTGTTTCCCCTTTCATTGCAGTTATACGCGCGTTTGAATGATGTGGATAAAGCTGAAAGTGCGAGCGAGGAAATGAATGGTGAAAGAGCACCTCCGCCCATCCGAAGAACAGGTTCTCGGGCCACTCTTCACGGCGGCGGTGGTGGAACAGGGGGGCGTCAAAGACGCGGAGGAGGAGGAGGAGGAGCCACTAGGGGGACCGCCCCGGGTCGCGGTCGCAGACCCACGCTAATGACGGTAAGACCCTTTCCCCAATGTCGCTCCTTTGCATGCACTTTTAGAGGATTTACTTTACTAAGTTGGCATTATTATTATTACTAGAGTAAATGTCCGAAGTATCTGCGAGTCTTGCTTGCAAACTCGCATTTTCTCTAATTATCCCCCTCAACCTCCTCCAAATACACTTTTTGGTATGCTCACGGCGGTAGAAATTTAGTGCATCCTAACCTTGCTACTGATTTCTCAATTAAGTAGCTACTATATCTTTTTGATTTTCTAAAATCGTTATGACTATTTGAAGGCACTTTGCTATTCTAAAATCAGCTTACGTAGTGTCAACTTGCCGTTTTTTAAATGGCTGATCATTTAAAACGTTTAGGATCCTAGTAATTGGGTCTACACCTTCCCTTCTAATTAGATGGAATAAATTCATGAAATCCGATTTCACCAACACCTTGGGTTTATTCGGTAATCTTTCCAAATCACACTTGGTCAAATTTTGCGTTCCCATGGCTTTCAGATTTTACGTAACTATGTTTATCGTTTTTCCAAAAACAAGGTTGGTATTTTATCGCATTTGACGGAATCAAAAATTTGCTTAAATTGTTATGCATTTTGTCTGTTACGTGAAAGCACACTCTTACCTTGTTAGCTTCTAGTGAGGTAAAACTATAAAGTCTATCTCACTACTCATCTTTTTTCCCTTAGTCGCTCACCGTTCACACAGATCCGCCAACTTCATCCAATGGAACAAAAGAGGCCGCTCGCTTGGGTCCCTTGCATGTCGAAGTCTCCCCTTCCTCCCCCGAGACCAAAAAGAGGCTCGGTGAAGTTGCTGATGAGGTCTCAAAGGGGAATCTTCAACTGTTCAATGGAGAGGAGGGCTCTTCCACAGTTCTTTCCTCGCCCAAAGGAAGTGCTGCTAGCGTTTCTTCCACATATTCTGGTAAGTTCCTCTTTTGTCGTTTCAAATCCTCCCTCGCACATCCACTCACTAACTATTCTTTCCTTATCAGGCCCTCCTAAACGCAATCTTTTCAGCATTGAGGCACTGACTTCAGTAGAGCCGAAAAAGAAAGTCGAGGAAGAGCCTCGGGAGTCAAGATTAGAGCAACCGGTGCCACCACAAGCCCATCAGAACGGCGGCGTCGGTAACGGTCCGACGTCGGCGCAGTGGCTGGAGCGTCTGAAGCGATGTGTTGGTCCCAGAGGCTTCCTCGTTCCCATCGATGAGACTGAGATGAGTCAGCTCACCCACCTCCTCATCACCGACTCGCATTTTAAGCAGGAGGTCGCTCGACTTCCCTATGTCTTCCAAATGCTCTCCAACTTCTACGCCCACCAACATCAATTGCAATTTATGCAACAGCAACGCTCTCACCAACAGAGAATTGCAGCTCCTCAGTCTTTCGCATAGTGAGTCTTTCGCAGACCTGTTGCTAATCTTAACCTTCATGTTGAAAGTTAATAGTACCCTCTCTCTCTCTCTCCCTCCTTTCAGCTCTCAGCAGAATCCTTTGGTGGCAGGCAATAAGGCTTTTCCACAGCCACCACCACCACCACCACCTAGATTGGCTACATGTCCACAGTCGGCGGGTGGCAATTCAACGACGACGGCAGTTGCGCCTTACTCTTACCAGGGGAATTTCGCTTCCGCAATTGTCGCTGTCTCCTCCTCCTCCTCCTCAGCAGCGGCAGCAGCAGCTGTGGCCGCCGCCGCTGCAGCTGCAATGGCAACTGTCGCTGTCTCTTCCACCACTCCCGTCATCCAACCACCACCACCACCACCTCCTTGTGAGTTGATAAGATGCCAGTACCTTCTTTCTCTAATTTACTTTCAGCTTACTTTAGGATTGTTCTGAATGTGAACCTTCTCAAGGATTTTTGGTGTGCATTTTCGTGAAGTTAAAGTACCTATTTACATGAAATGGCAGGCGTTTTGATAGCTATCATTAGCCCTTTTTGCTGACTTCGGACTCCACAGAGGAGGGGGGGGGGAATCAAAGTGAAAAAGTCGAGAGGGGGGGGGGGAACAGAAGAGTGATTCAAAGATGTAAAAGAGACAGACACAAAGGTAGAGTGAAAAAGGTGAGGTGAATCGGCTTGTTTCAACATGCATCCCTCAAAGAGTATTCCACCATCAAAAACATAATTGTAATGACCAATTCTTGCATGTAGGTATGATTCCATCAAACGCGCTAGTTTGAATATTTTCAAAGAATCATTTATGGAATTTTACAAGAAACCTTAAGCGACATAGCGATTGGTGTTTTGAATGTCTCTCTTTAATTATGCAGCTTTGTCCGGCTAGATGCAACTGGCGATGCAACTATGTGAATCGTCTAGTGAATTAAAGTATGGTAGTTTTCAAAATGCACTTCTGCTTATTTTTGCCTTTTTTCTGTCTTGTTGCAGTTTATTCGGGATCAAGTGTGCCGACCTATTCGAGTCATTACTTTCCCGGGCAACATGCACAGCCAATACCGATGTCATCATATCCTCATCCCCCACAAATATTAGCACCGCCGGCAACTTCCCGTGTAGCTCCTCAACATTATCATCCCTTCATGACTAACGCCCCATCTCCATCTCCGTCATCCTCCTTTTGGGGTACAGCCCCATCTCATTTAGGAAGTGAATTCCCCTATCACTACTACTCCCAGCATCAACTCATGCAGAATCCCAATCTGCAGATCCTTCACAAATTACCGCCTCTCGCAGATGCAGTTGACCTCACTTCGAGTGGAACTAACAGTAGCAAGCGATTGGCACTCCCTCCAACCCCTGTGAATAAAACTCTTATGTCCCCTCAATCTTCGATTGCCGCTCGCCTTCTACCTTCGCAGCCCGTATCCACATCCCCGAAGAGGCCATTTCCTCGATTTGCTAGCCTCTTCCACTTCGACGGTTTGGTATGTCTAACACACACACACACACATACACACACACACTTGCTCTCATAACTAGCCTTATCATTTACTCACTCTGTTTTTGCCTTTGCCTAGTATTCAAATCGAGGAGCCACTGGACATCTACGTATATGCTATTACATTATGAAGTGTAAGTGGCCTCACGAAAGGCCATTTGGCCTTGCTCATCCCTGCTGGTATTTGGAGCCCGGCAGCCACACTGGTATACTCAAACCAGTTTCCCAGAAACCACCACCTCAGCCGCTTTCTGTTATTCGTCCTACACCTCTGTCACCACGTTTTCCAAGTTACGGTCACTTTATTCGAGCTGCAATAGAGAATGTTGGCGGCGTCAGCGTTCGTCCTTCCATGCATCCTCCACTACCACCAATTGCAATTGATTTGACGCGCTCACCGCCCCCTTCCGCCATTCGAAAGTTGCCATCGTCGTCACTACTGCCAGAATCGGATTTGATTTTGAAAAGGCGTCGAATAGAGGCTGGTGGTGGTCATTTCCAGGGTGTCCCCTCGGCAAACTTTCAGAACGGAGGTGTGCGAATGCCTCCTTCAGCCTCCTTTCCTCCTCCACCTCCTTTTCCCCTCTTCCGTCAGCCACATTGAGCAGTATAAGGCTGCTTGTTTGGGGCTGGTTAGAAAGAATGCGAATAAAATGTACAAATCTCCTCCTTCCCTTCCTGCCCGCCCCTCACTTCGTAATTCTGAATTAATACGTGTATTCTTTCTTAATATCCCACCTCTCCTCTCCTCTCCTCACCTACATCTCATTTGAATTTAACCCCGTCTCTTTCTTCTCCCTTTTGATGATGATGATGGTGGAAATAGATTATATATTTGTATTTGGATTCATTAATACACCGCCGACTTGTTCGCAGTTGGGGAGTTATTAGCTACTGATGGGCTTTGAGTACTCGTTTTTCGGCTCTTGAAAATGATGCTTTACTAGAAACCTGAAACTTAGCGGAGATAATGTTTGTCAATCTACACAGAAGCTCCGATTGATGCACTTGCAATGATGTTTTAATTTTTACCTCCATCGCTTTGAACGCTTGAATATTTATATATAACTTCTCCAACATGCTCTGGCATGTTGTTAGCTTGATGTTTAGTTGGGGGGATAATTTCCTGTTGAACAGTCTTGTGAACATCTTAAAAATTATCTGATTTTTGTAATTATTTTGGTTTCTCTGACAAACCTTTTACCATGTGGATAGTTTACAGAAAAAAGTCACTTTTAACGAGCTTAATAACAAAAAGTACTAATTAAAATCGCCTTTTATTCGATTGAAAACGTCTTTCGGCAAATTGTGCTCACAAACGCTATTAACGAGCGACAGCACAAAAGGGGGCAATACATTATTATTATTTCAAATGGCAGGCTTTGTGATATTTATCATTAGCCCTTGAACTTTGACTTCAGCTTCCCCCAAGGGTGGGGTGTACATTTATAGCAGTTAATTAATAGCAGTTCATTAGCCGGTCTTGCTTCCCAGTATCTCTGGCTTTCTATTTCCTAGTATCTCTGGCTTTCCGTCGTATTTAGGGCTGAACACCGAATCAGGTGGGTCTTCTCCATTTCCTCCTGTAGGTTACATAGAGGGCATGTGGGTTGAGTGTATACTCCCAATCTGTGAAGATGTTTTGCCAAGCAATCGTGTCCGGTACGTAGTCTAAACTCAGCAACGGCTTCGATTCTTGGCCAGTCGGCTATGTCGGAGAGTGCCACTGTTCACTATTTCTCCTTTGTTTGAGCTTTAAGTTCGTTGCACCTTGAAGTCTGGAATTATCTCCTGATTAAGGCCTTCATTGTGTGGAAAGACATCGGCCGGTCTAGATCTTGTACAATTGTTGTCCCCTTCTTAGCAATTGCGCCAGCAAGTTCATTGCCTTTAATGCCACAGTGACCAGGAATCCATTATAGGACCACTGTTTTGTTTTTCTCACTCAGCAGCTGATAGAGTTTTCTACATTCGTATATCTCATCTGTTTTTGGTGGCTCTCTGTTTCCAATAGAGTCTATTGCTGACTGTGAGTCCGAAAG